TGTTCTAGTGAGTGATTTAGGCTTAGGAGGAAATTTCATTGGTAGAGTTACCACCGAGAAGTCCTCCTCTCTAATATCTGCCAACTTTATCTTTGCTGAACCTCTGAAGATGGCATTAAAGTAAAGTACCCCTTGAAGAATGTGCATTGAAATATAAGGCAATAAATAATACTAAAGAAAATTAGGATATTGCGTTTTTAATTTTTATTTTGCTTCAAAACTCTGGAAGCTAAAGCCCCTCTGCACCCTGTTTTCTTTCGGACTTAACTCTCCAGCTGGTATTGAACCTGGCTATCAAGGGAATATTACTTATATTAGACAAAAAGTATAAAAGAATCCTACACGGTTTGTAAGAAGGAAAAAAGCAAGACGAATTCTGGGACTGTTGCTACTGCAAGCAGATTATTCAAGCTTCTATTGCATGTAACTGGCTGGACTGATGAGGCACTGGTGCCTGTCGGGGGGGTCTGAGGCTAGCAGCAATGAATCAAGCTGTCAGATTTGATGAGTGCAGGCTTGCTTGCTTCCTTCCTTCCTTTCTTGACTGGACTTATATGGCCGCCTAACTCATACAATGACTCTAGGCAGCACACAATAATCCATAAAACATAGCTAAAAATAAAGGTACCCCTCCCCTCAGGGGCCAGACCATACATCCTCATAGCTGAACCCCCCATCCTAGCTCAATGCTTGGGGGGAGAGCCAGGTCTTCACAGTCCTCCAAAAGCCTAGAAGGGTAGAGATCAGAGGGATCTCTGGTGGGAGGCTATTTCAAAAGACTGGAGTGGCCACCAAGAAGGCACACCTCTGAGGTCCCATCAGATGGCAACTTTTAAGGGAGGAGACCTGGAGAGCACTGACCCTATCTAACCTAGTAGGACAGGCAGATACCCTCAGGTATCTGGACCAGTTGCAGCTTTCAGATGGTCTTCAAGGGCAGTCCCATGTCCAGCGCATTGTAGTAATCCAAATGAGAGGTGACTAAGGCATGAGTGACTGTGAGCAATGCCTCCCGGTCCAGGAATAGGCGCAGTTGGCACACAAGAGGGATTTGCTCTCTGAAACTCTACTGGATCTGTCAGTCACCTGGGATGGACCGATTGAATAGGCCCAACCTCCCTGCGGTGGGGGGCAGCTGCAGAGAACTCCAGGGCCAAGAGGGAGTAATCTGTCCATGGTAAGGGACTGATGTTAATGTCCTCTAACCCCATATCACCTTGCTACTGCCCCGAGACAAAGACCAGATCCAATGTACGACCCCCACTGTGAGTTGGGCCAGCAATAACCTGGACCAGGTTCATGGCTGCCATGGTAGCCATGAATACCCAGGCCACCTCTGACTCCAGGTCCAGAGAAGGCAGATTGAATTCTCCCAGAGCCATAAGCCTGGGGAACTCCACTGCCAACTCTGCCACGGAGTACAGGAGCTTTGGCAGGACTGCTGCCATCCCACAGGGAGGAATGTAGGCAAGCAGCAAGACCAATTGATCCCTGAGACCCAATTCACAAAGAGAGCCTCGCTCATGGCTATGTTCGGGTCAGTGCCCCTAAAGGTCACTACAGACTATAACAATAGCCACCCACCACCCCTGCCCCAGAGTCGCAGCTGGTACCACACTTGAAACCCTGGAGGGAACATTTCGGAGAGAGGAACACCCCCCTCTGTGCCAAACCAGGTCTTGGTAAGGCGGGCCAGGTCAAATCTCTCATCATATCTCCTTTGTCCACTCAACTTTCAGCTGGGCTTCAAATACTCATAAGCTCTGGGACTTTGGAATGACTTGCCTTTCTCAAATGATATGCTATTGTGTAAGTACTTGGAGGGCACTTCCTATGGTAATAGGGAAATCATACCTCTATGTGCCCATCTTCTCACAACTATTTTTGAACTATTTATGAAATTTAGAGGTTGGGTTTATCTACAAAACTCTGAAGCAGATCTGAGGGACCTAAGCTGCTATTTTCCTGCACTATTTTTCCCACCAGAGAAGTTACATTATTCCTTGCGTAGTGTAAAATCAATAATTTTTCATTCTATCAATCTTGTTATTCGAACATACATTTATTTTTTTAAAAAATAGAAAGTGACAAGAAAATATAAACTGTGTAAAATAGGGGAAAAACACACTGGTGGCAGAGAAAGAAAACCGTGCTGCTTATTGACTGTTGTGATGTGGTCACGTAGAAATAAAAAAAACTTTGATATGAAATAGTAATTATTGCAAAATGTAAAGCAGAAGTATAAATGCCTACTTACTTTCTTTCTGTTTCTGGTGTGGATGCTATACTACTAAAGCCAAGGGATTCCTGGAAGAGAAGATTCATTGCTTTGAGTTGAGGCTGAACAACTAAAAGCTTTATTATCTGATTGATGCAGGAACAAAAATAAAGAATTGAATCCATTGTGCTTACTTCAATCTGGGATTGCAGCTGTAGGGATGTGGAGCTGGCATCAGATTTCTCCTGAAACAGAACAGATGTCAAGTTAGTGAAACACACAAGTGTGGCAGTGTTGACAAGCAGCAAGGAAGCAAAAGAAAAACAGAATAGGACAGGGATGAAGAAACCATCAAATTGTCTCAATTCAGATGCCTCCAGGAATTGGCTAGAAAACACTAGTGTGGTATAAAAGTATAAATTCACAATTTCATTTTATTTATTAGATTTACACCCCACCTTCCCTCTAGGAGCTCAAGTGGCATGCATAGCATTCCCCCCTCCAATATTTGTCCTAAACAACCCTGTGATGTAGGCTGGGCAGAGAGAGAAGGATTGGCTCAAAGCTAGCCACTGAGCTTCCATGACTCACAATGGACTTGAACCTGGATCTTCTTGGCCTTAGTTCAATACCTTAGCCACCACACCCCACAAGCCTACACTGGATCGCCGAAAGTGGCCATTCCATTGGATGAGACATCACTAGCAGTCATATGTTATTTTGGAAGCATTGCCAAACTCTTGCCATAATGTTTCCATTATCTTTTTGTTTTCTACGCAATCTACTATGGGAACACTAGATGGCTCAGTATACTGCACAGTGTTGTAAACTGGAAACAAAAGTAATGAGCAGAAGTGAAGAGATAAACATCCCTGTTAACATCTGCATCCCCTTGGTGTAGCAATCTAAGTCTGCTTCTCCAGCGTGGGAAACTACGTATAGTTCTGGCTGCCACATCTGAAAAAGGATATAATAAAACTGGAAAAAGCACTGAAGACTGTAACCAAAATGATTGGGGGCTTGAACACATGTTTTATGAGAGAAAGGCACAACACTGGGGATTCTTTACCTTAGGAAAAAATGTGACTGAATGGGGACATGATCAAGATATATAAAATTACGCATGGCATATAGAAAGTGGGCAGGGAATCATTTTTCTCTCAAAACTCTAGAACCAGGTATCATCCAATGGAAGTAAGTGGAACATATTTAGAACAGGCAACAGGAAGCTTTTTTTCATATAGTGAATAATCAACCACAAGACATGATAATGGCCACTAATGTGGATGGCATTAAAAAGCAATTGGACAAATTCACAGAGGACAGGTCTTTCAAGGACCACTAGTTCTGAGGACCCAATTCCAGGTTAGAGGAAGCATGTCTCCACACATCAGATGCAAGAAAACCATGGCAGAAGAGGGATAGTTTCCTTCTCCTGCTTGTGAGCACCCCAAAAGTATTTTGTTGGCCATGCTGAGAAACAAAACAGTAGACAAAGATGGCTTTCGCTTGACCCAGCGGGGCTATTCTTATGTTCTTACATACTTCTATCTTGTCTTCTGCAAAACTTCTTCTTCCTTGTGATTCCTAAAGGAAAAGGAGATTTATAGCTTTTCTCCTAAGGGAAAGGTTGGTATTTCTCCAAGTACAATTTGCTGCAATCCCATTTGTGTTGCCTTTCAGATGGTATCCCTTCCATTTATTTACAAACCACATGAAAGAAATTAGAAAGACAGAGTGGGAGAGAACCAGAGTTAAAGAACATAACTCCAAGTATTGCAATAGTTGTAACAAAGGAATGAGCATCCTGCACCAAAAGCCACAATCAACTGATAATGAAGAGCTAGTAACAAACAGTGTGGAAGAGGGAAGGATGTGAATGCATATAAGTAGTAGTAGTACTTTATTATGGTCATTGACCAGCTCAAACATATAAGTAATTTTCAACCGATTGTTTAAAAAACCAAGACTTGGTTTGCTGCTCCTGTGAATGGGCTGTAAAACCATGATCAGTGCAAGGGGAGACTAGAAAGGATGGGCAAGTACATAGCTATGTGTGACCTATAGCTTCAGAAAATTTTCAACCTACATACAGTCCCAAACCTAACTCAGTCAAAGAAGTTTATAATTTCCCTGTTACCTTTGCTCACATCAAGGGAAACAGATGCACATTCCTCTGAAATTTGTAATTAGCTTACTGTCATTGATTTTGAGAGAAGGAAATAAAGCAACTTATGAACATGAAGTTTGGTGCTCTTTTCTTCTGAGTTGAAAATGTCAGCTCAGTAGAAGCCATCACAGTAACAAAAACATTAGCAAAAATAACGTTAGAGATTCTTCATTCTCTCGCCAGAGCAAAGTTCCATAGAAAACAGATGTATGCAGCTTCCTCTTCCTTCATTAAGTCAAGCTAACTTTCCAGCTGGAAAAGCAATAGGAACACTACTAAGGTTCTTCGACACACTTTTGTCTCCTGTCCATCCCACCTCCAATGACATAAAACAGCCAGACGAGGAAGAGAACAGCTCTGCAGTTGTGCAGAATCTGGCTCATTTAGGCCTCTACTGAGTGTCAGAGAAATAAAAGAGAAGGAGCATTTTACCAGACCCTGCAGCTCAATCTGCACACCATGAGATAGCAGATCCTGTTGTGCACTGAAAAATAATTTTGTTCCCTGGCTTCTGAGTAGCAAATATTTGGCTTTGTTGAATTTATTCAGAACTTAAAAGAAAGGGATTGTGCTAGAGGTGATTTTACCTTAGATAAGATCTATGTTAATTCACATTACCTTTCATCTTTTTAAAGAGATACTTTGATTACCTAAGCTGGCTATAAACAAGTAAGATTTACTATGCACAGTGGATACCATTGTGGAGGGAAGGTAGAGCAAATTCTTCCCTCCTCTCCAAATCCTCTTAGGGAAAGACCAGCTGCATCCTGTGCTAACAAAATCCAGATTCTACTCTCTCTCTCTTTCTCTTGTTTACAGTGTGAGCAACTTCTCTTGTCCTCGCAACTAAAAAGCCACAGTGTTCTTTGCAAAAACTAAGCATTAGGATTCCATTCAAAAAAACACGGGTTGGTAAATAATAAAAAACACCCTAGAGGAACCCTATTCTGCTTAATAAAGGTGATGGCACAAGAGCTTCTGAATGAAAATCAGAAGGTCCACAGGTAGACTTTTAATGTGTAAACTTCATAAAAGTGGCACTGAAATTGTGGAATGCTGACTTCCCTTGTGTTAAAGAGTTACTTTAACATAGCTTTGAATTTGCCTCAGTGAATATGGCACACATCTTACTGAAATTTAAGCCATTGTCAAAAGGGCTGCAAATAATTTCTTTTTTTAAAAAGTAATTTCATTAAGAATTATAACATAAACATTGAAAAAAACCTAAAAGAATAAAAAGTAGAAGGTACAGAAAAGAAAAAAAAAGGAAAAAGAGAAAGAGGAAGAAAAAGAAAAAGAAAAAAGAAAGAAAAAAAAATAAGAATACAGTAAAAAAAGAGAAAATATATAAAGAAGTGACTTCCCGTCTTCATCACAAGTATAAACAATTTTAGTAACTTATCACCTTCTCTTAAAATACAACAAAT